GGGGGGGGGTCCCGGTAAAGACATGAACGCCCTAGCTAAAAAAACAAACAACAAACAACCGGGTAGAAAAAGAAAAAGAAAAGATGAGAAATAGGGGTAACATCTTGTAGAGTAGAGTTGTATCCTGCACATTTCGAATAGTAGAATCTAACCTCTTCAAATATCGCGAGTGGTATAAGGAAGAGTAGAAAAATGAGCTGAAGTAGATAAACTCATTACGGACGAATTTTAGAAAAGAACGGCAAAAAAACACTTTTTGCTCGACTTTCGTTTCTTTTTCGTGTTTTTTTCGCCTGGAGACTAAAGCAAGAGCCAACGCTGTTGGTGCGTCCATGGCGAGGTCAAGGCAAAAAATGATCATTGCGCAATAGGCATATACAGTATATTGTGCGTGAAGGGAGAACGTCAAACCGTCAATACTTTTGACGTCAAAAAGTTTTCCGGTTTTTTTTAATATTATTTTTTATAGTAGAGGGTTTTACGGCGCTCGAAACTGCATAAGGTCATAAGAGCGCCAAGGGGTGGGTGTCAACAGAGAAGTCTTTCCAGGGAATTAGACTTACTCTGCTCACCTCTCTGGCTTCAACAGCACAAGGTCTGCTTCAACTATCAAGGCACCCCGGAAATAGCTGGTTACAAGAGAGTGACAAACATACAACAGAAGTAGAGGAAACTGACAATAGTAAGTATTAGTAAAGAAAAAGCAGCAGTTTCCTGTTGTAGTTCAGGCACAGTTATGAGCATGACATTGTTGGATCAGCCCACCTACAATTCTACTGTGCATTAGAACGAGAAATGTCTCCCCTTTGGGAATGGCCTAAAGGCACTTCAGTCAGTGGCACCGCCCCCGTGTGTGTGGGGGGGGGGGGCGGGTTGTTGACCTCTCCAAATATCGCGAGTGGTATAAGAGGAAGCGACGACGAAAGATGAGCTGAAGTAGATCAACTCACAACGGACGAATTTTAGAAAGGAACTGCAACAACCACTTTTTGCCCGACTTTCGGGGGTTTTTTTCGTGTTTTTTTTCGCCTGGAGACTAAAGCAAGAGCCAACGCTGTTGGTGCGTCCATGGCGAGGTCAAGGTCAAGGCACAAAATGATCATTGCGCAATATATATTGCGCGTGTAGGGAGAACAACAAACTGTCAATACTTTTGATTTTAAAAAGTTTGACCAAAAGTTTGTGCATGTATGGGCTACAAAAATGACTTTTCGGTTTTAACACCAACACTTATTCAACTTGCACGTGGCATTTTTTGAAAGCACAAAATGCAAATATTAAAACGTCTCTTATAAAAAGAGCCATCTCGACAGCTGGGAGCTCGAGAGACGTGCTATGTGTGAACTTTCCCGGTGGTCTATGAACATAAAACCCCCAAAATGTGATCAGCTTCATCTCATGAAAATATTATGAGGACAGAACAAACACACCGGCAGTCCGGAGATTAAAGAGAACATTGGCTCACGTAATGCCGGCACGCCGGCTCTTAGATGGACGGTGATTGGGCACTGTCCCGAAGCAATCCAGCCCTTTCCGAAACAATTCCACAGCCAACAACATCCCCCTCCCAAAACAAAAACAAAACACAAACAAACAACAATAACAATGATGATTAATTGATAGCACGTGCATAATGCACACATCAAATGGTCGCCTTTCAAGTACAAGGGGGCTTATCCCTAAAAATACTGTTTTGAGAACATCGAAGGTAAAGTATTTGACCCAAGTTCCGTTTCTTTAAAAGACAAGGAGAGTTTCTATGACCAAACAAATATACACACCAATGAAACCAAACTTCCATAGGTAGAGCAATGCCCACTTTTGGTGCAGGTCAAGATTTCTGGAAACCCCCGAAAAATTGGTTAGCCAGCCTGTCCTTTTAGAAGTGACCAAATTTACAATACAAGTAGATCCTTTCAGAGGCGTGCTGCACTGCGGGGTTATAACTTGGGCCGAATGGGATACAACACCCAAGCAGAGAGATACGAGAAGTCCGATAACTTCCGGAAACAGTGAAGAGCCTAACTATAACATGTATATACCACAGACGCCGCCAATTTAATTCCCCCCCCTTTTTTACAATGTAGATCTTTTACGCCGTCATCGACATAATTTATACCATCTAGGAAGCAGGTCTTGACCCTGCCTGCCAGGGTCAACCCGGGCTGAGAGAGATACAGCGTCCCAGCAGAAAGACTGGGATACTCGTTAAAAATTCCCCCCATATAGGAATCGAACTTAGATCTTCTTCCTGCGACAACAAAGCACCAGACTGTTATATCACAAAAATTGGTCACAGACATTGCAAATAATAAAACAAACTATAACAAAATAACAACAATAACCACAACAACAACAAACGTTCACAGGGTAGGGGAGGAGGAGATGCAGAAGAGGGCAGTTGTCGCAGACAAAAAAAAACAACTGTGAATAAGTGTTATTCTTTCCCATCGTTCTATGGACTCCAGCTGTTGAGAAGCATTTCTGTCCATGTATGTCTGTTTCAAACTACAAACTTCTGTGACAAACACAGTGAAACCAGCTAAACTACTCAGGGACACGATCGAGGATGAAAATGGAAAATTCGTGACTATTCCCCCTTGAATAAATTATGAGGTTTTTTTCCATTGTCTTTTTTAGCAATAAATAATCCGCCGCCGGTTCGCTAGGCCGGTCGGCAACTTTTCGGGGCCACCCCGGTTCTCCTTCACGGCTAGCGTGACGCCTCAGTGGCATAAAGCCACACCGTACTTCGTTGAACCCAGAAATCTCTTATTTTGTCCAGTTTCCACCTCCCGGGACGATGGCAACAAGGCTAGAGGATAGCAACAAGGCTTGATGGTGACCGAGAAAGACCTGGATAGATGGAGTCAGGGAAACACTAACCACTCACAGCATCTCCCTGACCCAAGCTCTCCGGCTGGCGACAGAAAGACGTCTCTTTCTTCCCGCGACACCCAAAAGGGTATAAGCGGCGTATAAAAGTAAGGTAAAAGTAAATAAATATCATTGTAAATGCGTCACACTGACTGTCACGCGTGCAGTTGTGAAAGAAAAAAAAAAAACAACCTATAGCTGGGCTTCTGTCTTAAAATTAATATCTGACAGCTAGAGCCTCACACAGAAAGGGAGCCATCTATTTATTTGTAAGTAACAAGCAACTACGTGAGATTGGTTCGACTTGTCTATTTTCAATACACTGAGGGAGAGAGAGAGAGAGAGAGAGAGAGAGAGAGAGAGAGAGAAAGAGAGAGAGAGAGAGAGAGA